GTTCAGGGTTCAGGGGTTTAGGGTTAGGGTTCAGGGTTAGGTCTTCGTGGCCCTCCACCTCGGATCAGCTGTCGGATCAGCTGTCCTTGTTGTTGGGTCATATGCTGTGAGGAAACTGCTTGTGGGAAGCCGGCACTGAGAGCGAGCTCGTCAAGAAGCTCAAGAAGGAGGCATAGGACACAGGATAGATGTTTCTTCAGGGTTTGGGTACTGGTGATGACTTTCGAGGGGGAACAGCCAGAGTAGCGGCGGCATGTAGGCTCACTTCTGCTGACTGCAATGCACGGAAGAGGCTGGTCCAGTTCGCAGCTGCTGCCACCGCCTGTTCCCAGCAGACATTTGGCTCATAGTCGAGCTCAACATCTCACTTCATCATCAACTCCCGGAGCCCGAAACCATGATAAACCCTGAAGCCGCAGGCGAAACCGACATCCTAAACCCTGAACCCGTTACCTTAGCCTAAGCCGAAGGACACCCGTTTGAGCATAGCTTCGCCAGCCAAGTTCCTAGCAGAACCCTCGTCCGTCCACGGATCGACGCAGGGCTGGTGTCTGAAACTCCGCCAACAAAACTGTGCTGTGGTTTCCCAAACACTTGTTTTTAGTCTGACGGCCCCTGCACCAAAAACCCTATACTGCAGCAAATCTAAACCCTATGAAAGCCTTATGTCAGTCATGGTCGCTCTAGTAGCAAGACGCTGTCCATGCTTGCCTGGCGAGGCCCTCTTGTTCTTGCAGCATCGAAGTCTGCCTACACAGTCCGTAATGAGAGTTACGGTATAGGCCCACTTTAGATTACATGGGTTTACGACAAGTGCCTTTATTAAAAGCTTATTGGTTGCTTAGGCTTGCTATAAGGGCTTCTATAGCTATACGGCAAAATAGTGGTACTATTATCAGCGATCAATGAAGGGGTTGTCAACCGGCTCAGTAAGAAGGCTCACCACAGGAGTTTCGGGTTGAGGCATAGCCTTCTGGCTAACGCTGTACTGCCACTTGCTGCCTGCACACGCCATCCAAGAAAGAAAATCTCAGCTCGTGGTGGCTACAACACATCCCACACCCTGAACCCCAAAGTCTAAACCCTTGTTTCCTTCGCAGAGTGGCCTTCGGAGCCCTAAATGTCCGACCTGTGTGCTTGATTGATTGGTGATCTTTTGCTCCGTCGGATTCTCAGTATCAAGCCCGCGAAAGCTTGAAACCCCGAAACCCTAGCCAAACCCTCAACAACCCCCTGAAACCTGTATAAACCCATTATAGAACAAAACAACACCTGTATGTTACGGTTCAGCTCTTGGGTGTCCCTTGTAGGAACGCCTTAAGATTCCTGACCTGGCACGTGGTGATGGGGCCCTGGCGACCTAAAGACGTCAATCTCACACCTCGAGCATAATCTAAGGCCGGTTCCCTACCGGTCCACGTACCACCTCAGAATCATGTACTCTCGCAAAGACTCACCTACAAAACCAATATCCTCGAAATACTTAATGGAGTCCTTGGGACCCCCACGGGGTTTGGAGATGTAGGGTTTACGGATGTTCAGCGATTGTAGTACGGCGTTTTTACTACGGCCCCCCTTTTTCGGATCATTACCAAGGAACCATAGTGTCTTGAAGCTAGCACTCTTGACTGAGGCTCATGCGAGACTGCCTCAGTGGCCTCAAACAGCGCAGCTAGATTCTCTAAGTCAGGGTTTCCCCTTCAAGTTCTCGTGAAGCTATGACTCCGAGACCTGGGAGAGTAGCATAGAAGATCCCTGCTGAAGGCCTCAATCTTTTGTCGAGTACTAGTTGGCGAGGCTTAACAGATGGAGTGCGACATCCGACGTCCAATTGCCAGCTATAGGCCTGTGCGCTTTAGACTTGAGGTTGCTGGTGCTCTTGTGGCCATGGTATGAGGGCCGTCAAGTGTTTTGCATGTCGAAGCCAAGAAGCAAGCCTATTTTGATTATACGCATATTCTGTTGTTTTTGTTATGCTCATTATCAGTGTTATCAACACTATTATCACTGCTTTCATTGTGGTGGTTGGGATTGTCGCGTCCGTTTAGGATTGGACTGTTGGGGGCTAAGGGGGCCCGAATAAGGACTTATTGAGGGTTCAAAAAGCCAGCTAAGCAAGAACAATCCCCTACCCCCCTACCCCCGCCCTCAAACAGACACACTGAGGTTCTTTATGATTTAGTCCAGCCGGGGACTGCTGGTATTTTCTGTTTGCAGATCGATTGGGGATCCGGAGTTTACAGAAGCCGCCCCATACTCGGTCACCCAGTGCTCATATCAATAAGGTCAACAGCAGCCACAACAACAAAGAGCAGCAGAAGCGCCAGACTCGCATCAACATCGATACTTGTCACAGCTATCCTGACACCCCGGACCCTAAGCCCCTTCACCCCTAGACCCTTAAATACTGAAACTGGCAAAATCCATCAACCCTGCCCTTCAAGCCCTAAGCCCTAACACTAAACCCTATAAGCCCCAACTCCTAAACCGTCAACCCCAACCACTAAACACTCAATAAATCCTAAGCCCATACTTGAAGGATCATGGGACTTAGTAAGTAAGGTTATAAAGTTATAACTACCGTAATTGGGTTTATACTTGCTTATAAGTCTAGTTACCTTAATTATAACCCTAGTTACTAAGTCCCATGATCCTCCAAGCAACGATCCTGACCCTAAACCCCCGATCCTAAACCCTAGACCCTAAACCCCCAATCCTGAACCCACAACGATCCTGACCGAAGGATACCCTAAACCCTAAACCCCAACCCCTAAACCGTCAACCCCAACCACCAAACCCTCAATCCTAGGCCCATAACGGACCGAAGGATCCCAGCGCGATGTTGTCCAAGTGTTTGGATCACCTTGGGCTCGGCCCCCGGAGACGTTTGGAACCCGAGATCCTCCCCGCCAGTAGCCTCCATTGACCCTAAACCCTTAACATAGCCCCTAAACCCTAAACATAGTCCCTAAACCCCAAACATAGTCTTAAACCCCTAATCCTAAACATAGTCCCTAAACCCTAAACCCCGGACAGATAGTCTCCATTGCAGTTCCTTTTTTCGGCCTTTTTCGGTTTTACGAACTTGATATTAAGGATCCTCTAGGGTGCCCCCAAAAGGAACTACAACTGTAGGTAGGAGCCTGATTGAGCAAACTCGGTTTTTTTGGTAGGGCTCTTGATACGTATGGACCCTAATTGTTTTGAAGAGTATAGGGTTTTGAGGGTTTCAGGGCTTGCAATGTTTAAGGTGCTTGTATGAGGAAGCCCTAACTATAAAGAGGAACAGAACCTCAAAGAGGTGGGAGGCCCTACCTGGATCCTATAAACACTTGCATCGTCGGGGTCCCATTTATTCAACTTCCGTACAAAGGCTGTCTGGGTTAGGGCTTTAGACCCTTGGTCCATTGAGACGAGAGCAAGTTCCTGCAACCCTGAATTTTCTCAAGCCTGCACGCTGCATAGAAAAAGCACAGTCCAGACCCTAGGCCTGAAACCTACAATCCAGTTCTGTAGCCTCAAGATCCTGACATGTGATGATTTAACGCATGTTTACTTAAGAAAACTTAGATTTGCATACAAATATGAATACAGATCTAAATGTACTAGAAAGAAATGGATAAACATATGCTGCATATATACATATATACGCACATAAGCACACACACACATACAACATACACAAACATGTTTGTATTCCAACTGCCTGAGCTTGAACACTTATCTGAGTTCCTTAAGCAGGCCCCTCCACAAGAAGACTATTCTGATCACCAACAAAACCTTAGACTAATTACTCAATGGAGAAGTGGGCATAGGTTCAAACAAAGAAGTGGGCAAGTAAAGACAGTTATGTATACTTACATGCATGCATACATACATACATACATACATACATACATACATACATACATACACACATGCATACGCATGTAGGCATGGGTGTGTACATATGCATGCTTACAGACAGACATACATACATACGTACCTACATCCTAAACCCTAAACCCTAAACCTTACACCCCAAACAGATGAAAAGCCAAGTGAAGCCAGGCTCCGCAGCTTCAGGGCCTGGCTCCCAGCTCCCTCAGCGAGTCAATATCGGCCGGAGGGCGTACTTTCCAGTCAAGGCTCGTGGTTTTAAGTTTTAGGGTTTAGGTGATAGAGTTTAGGTTTTAGGGTTTAGGTGATAGAGTGTGGGTTCTAGAGTTTAGTAATTGAGGCAGGGGTCAGGATTTTCCATCCCAGGACTAATCCATGGTGTATCGGCATGCCTTGAAGCCTGAAACACCTTACATTTCGGCAGCAGGGTTGCGGCTGAAATCGGATCGTGCGGGGACGGACACTTTCTTACGCTGGATCGCCGGCGGTTTGGATTGAACGGTGAGGATGTTCCTGATGAAGACAGCGGCTTTGTCGCAGAGTGAAGTGTTCAGTGATAGATGGTTGCTCGGAATTTCAATTAAAGGCTTTTCGTAATGCATCACTACCATGGCCATCACTGCTGGTTTAGTTAGGACTACTACTGTGAGTTGCTTTGACCAAATGATGTGCAGTCCAGGCCATGGCCCTGTTCACCCTGTTCCTGTGCATCGCGCGGGGCCTCAGTAGCGCTGAGGTCTGTGCCGAAAGCCTCCAACTTTTTCTGAGCAGCACAGGAAGATTTCAGTACTTTATACATGCCTTATAAACCCTAAATCCATCTAAACCCCTAAAACCCCTTTTATCATGCCCCCAGGCCGCAGGTCTCCTGCATGCTGAGCAGCATAGATCTGCACCTGACGGACTTGACCTCTCAGAAATCGAACCTGTCTGAATGCATGCGGCCCTTCGCTTCCGGGTCTTGTACCTATCGTCTCCAACTTCATTTTTTAGTTTTAACCCGTTTTAAGGTAACCCCAAACAGGAACTACAATGGAGACTATTAAGGCCCCTACACCCCAAACCCTAAACCCCCAAAACCTAAGCCCTAAATAAAACTGGTAACCCCAAACTACAATGGAGACTGTAGGTATACCCTGGGAGGCTCGGGGTCTTTGGGAATGAAATTTTTGGTTATCACAAGATCTCGGGCTTTGTAGACTTTCACAAACCCTGTCTTCAAGTAGAGTTAGTATACTTTCACAGATCGAGCCTTCAAGTAGAGTTATACTTTCACAAATCCTGCCTTCAAGTAGAGTCATACTTTCACAGATCCTGCCTTCCAGTAGAGTTGATGATAGGGTGCTTGGTTCCTGTACCGATAGATGCAGAAAGGACGAGTTGGGAAGACTTCTTCAGAAAACGAGGCTTAGACATCGAAACGTTCAGTTGTGAAGGCCGCCTATTCGCTCATCATGTTCCTCGGCGGGCCTTGGGAGATTCCGTTGGAGAACCAGGAAAGGTTTAGGGTTTAGGGTCTAAACCTACCAAATGCAAACAGTGAAGCACGTTGGTGCGATTTTAAAGTGATCCAAGGTGCAACCCTTAGCCAGGGACCTAAGTGGGATACCCCGGATCATACGGATATTTATCTTCCACCTTTAGCCCCCAAACCCTAAACCCTAAACCCCGAACCCTAAATTTTGAACTGTCCTTCTGTGTAAGTCAGCACTGGAAGGCGGAAGCCAAGCCTGAGTCCGATGTCTATAAAGCTTTGTATCAGCTCTTCAAGAATTTTGTCAGCGCCTTCTACAGTCCTACCTATAGTCTCCGCTGTCCTTCCTTTTTCGGGCTTAGCCAGGTATATATTTAGGACCCTATACGGTAACCCCAAAATGAAATTACAATGGAGACTCTAGGTATAAGTGGCCCTAAACCCTAAACCCTAAACCGTGGGGTGTGCAGAGGAGTCATCTGGCTTGGTCTCCAGGCCGCTTGGGTTGTTGTTCCGGGCTTGACGGGCGAGAAGGGGTCGGAAGACAGGGAGAGGGGTTTTAATGTAAGGGCCTTGATAGTTAGAAGAGGATTTGGGGCTCCTGTCTAGCATACTTATAGTAAGGAACCTAAGGAATAATATGGGGCACTTTTTGGGCTTCTGTAGTAGACGGTAGCCATGCCCTAGACACGATCTGTTTAATTCCTAGACTTCTGGTTCCTAAGCCCTGGAGGGAAGCCAGGGTCAAGTGACAAAATGGATAATATAGGGGCCTGAATTATTACCTATACTATTTTGGGGGCGCCTTATTACAGTTATACTAGAATATGGCACAAACCCCCTATTCTAATTATTCAGGCTCCTACATTACAGTGCATGGCTACTTGGGACCTTCGTGAAGGGTGACAGTCTGAGGTGAAGAGTGTTAAGTGCTTAGAGTGAAACCCTAAACCCTAAACCTTATACCCTAAACCCTATATACCCTAAACCCTAAACCTTCCCTAGTAGGATCTCTCAACTCTGGGAGTTGTAAAAGTGGCGCTTAGCACAACAAAAACGTAGATCCTGAACCTCCGAACCCACTGCTTCGGAAGATAATCACAATAATAGACAGGGTGGCAGGCAAAGCGTTACGCTCTCAACCCATCTTCTCCGAGACATGCCATGGCATGGGCATTCTCGGGCTATGATTCGCGCCCCAGACGATGTAATCAAGCCGTGCGAATAACGGGGAATACAATCCCTTTATAGTCCGGCAGAACGCCATTATACTGTACCTCAATACCGTGTCCTAACTCTTCAGGCCATTCTCACCATCATCATCATCATCATCATCGAATGTTGCGATAGCTGCTGAAGTATGCTCATGTTATGGGTCGATTCTCATCATTCCCATCCTCATCATCATCATCATCATAATTCTCATCATCATAATTCTTGTCATCAGCATCAGCTTCACAAAAGCCTGGGCAAGCCGGTCCTGGCGTTGATCTGGCTGCTGCAAGCCATCTGCAGCAGGCGATATGCGGCGGTGCAGCGCGCCCATTCTCCGGACCAGGAGGCACTTAGGGGTACCTAGAAATAATTTGTAATTTTTGGCTACTATAAACCCTAAGAAGCAGCTAAGATTATAATTTTTGCTAGGGGTCTACTAAGTTCAGTGTAGGGCAGTGCTCAGGAGTAGCGGGATGCTGGGGATCAGACCCGGTAGGTTCTAGGACGAATCAGATCTACCCGACGCCCGAAGCCCAAACACGTACTTGCTTGGTTGAAGCCAGAGACTCCAAAACCCCTTAATCAAGGAATATGCCTTAAATGATAATAGGATCTCTAATAAGATTTAAGGCTTTAAGGTATATATATATATATATTCCTTAGTTAAGGGGTTTTGGATTCTCTGGGAAGCTAGAGGATGCTAGCAATGCAGGGCTGCGGGCCTTCGGCAGGAGGTGACGGGGCAGCTGCTATGACAGAGAAACACCCCATACACCGTGAACCCTAAACCCTTGGCTGATGGAGGAAGGGCCATTAAAAAGACATAGCAAGAAACCTGCATCCCTAAATCCTGAACCTAAACCCTAAACCCTAAACCCTCTTTCAAAGCGAACGAAACATGCCACCCTTGGAGGTGGAGCCTGCAGCACAATCCCTGCAGGAAGAGCAGGCGCAATGCCCAATTGGGTTTAGGGTTGGGGGTTTAGAGATCTAGGGGCTTAGGGTTTAGGGGGTCAGAGTGTAGCAAAGTTCTGGGAATTCAGTATTAGAGCTCAGGAATCAACACGAGTGGGCTTTCATTTATTATCTACAGTTTCTTAGTACGGTTGATGATATAAACCCTGCATTGCCCATAACAAGGAATATGCAAGAATTCCCATAGTTTCGGGTCCTTAAGGTAATGCAGGACTAATATCATCAACAATACCAGTAGTATAAGATACCCCAGAACCCTATTCGAACTACGAAGGCCTCTATCCCTAAACCCTAAACCCTATTCTAATTACGCGGCGGTGCTTAGAATTTGGATGGGCGCTTGGATGCACGGCAGAGATCGACTACTGTAGTATAGGGGCCTAAAGAAGTTCCCATACTATGTTGGGGGTTTCTTATTATAGCTGCAGTGTAATGGGGCCCAAAAACCTATTCTAACTATCAAGGCCCTTTATTACTGTAGTGGAAGTGTGAGGTGTTCTACAGCACGCAGGCTGTGGATAGACTCATAACCTTTGAGACATAGTATAGCTTCTAGTTTTCATTGTTGTTCCTATAGGGACTGTAACTAAGCAGGATCATCGTCAGCCAAAACTCCTCCAACCCAAGCCAGTAGTCCCCGGGACAGACGAATGATCCGAGTCTTGAGTCCCCACCCCCTCCAGCCTAACTAACGCAGAGTCTTCCGGCCCACGATTTACGGTTCAGGGTTACAAAAAAACCTAACCAACTTAAGGTTTGTATTAGGGCATTCCAAAGCCCCAAAACCCCGAAACCCTAAACCCCAAAACCCCAAAACCCCTAAACCCTAAACCGAAAACCCCCTAAACCCTAAACCCTAAACCATGATAAAGGAACCCCTAGAGAGTCGTAGTAGGTTTCTTGGGGTTGCAGGTCCAGGTAAGCCTTCAACGAACCCTGAGAACCCCAAACCTGAGATTCTTGGGGTCGAGGCCGCACAGTACAGGGGCTTCTATAATTAGACCAGGATTTTTGGTGTTTAGGGTTTAGGGGCGACCGGGTCGAAATACAACCAAACGGGGAAAATACAACCACACAGTGGGAAACACAACTGAACCACAATGGTGGGCTATGTAGCCCAAACGGGAGAAATTACAACTGGCTCTTACGGTGCCTTTCTAAGTTTCGACATGCCCTGCAGAAAATCCATACTTGGAGGCCCTTTTGACTTAGTAAGTCTACTTAGTATCCCCCAGGAGCCCTATTATAATCCCCATAACCCACCTTACTAACCCTACTTACTAAGTCAAAAGGGCCTCCAAGTAGTACAGCCTTAAGGTTCCATCACCAAGGCTAGGTAAGGTGGTTGTGATTCGTCCCTTCTCCTTGTGCCCCGCACGCATGAGGACTTAACATGAGTATTTGGGTATGCTTTCGGTCATGTAGTACGGAAGACATGTAGGCAATACTTAACATGATTATTTCGGTCTGTATGCTTTCGGTCATGTAGGTACGAACAGCATGTAGGCAATACTTAACATGATTATTTCGGTTCGTTCACTTTCGGTCATGTAGATACGAACGGCATATAGGCAATACTTAGCATGATTGCCACAATGATTATTTGAGTTTCTATGCTTTCGGTCATGTAGGTACGCACGGCATGTAGGCAATACGTAACATGCTTGTCGCCATGATTATTTCTGTTGTATGCTTTCGGTGATGTAGGTACCCATGGCATGTAGGTAGTACGTATACAACTTTGTATACTGTAACAGTACTGTTTCGGCTTGTATGCTTTCGGTCATGTAGATACGAACGGCATGTAGGCAATGCTTAAAATGATCGTCACACTGATTATTTCAGTTTGTATCCTTTCGGTCATGTAGGTACGAACGGCATGTAGGCAATACCGAAAGGCATGTAGGCAATCAGAGGCTACAGAGAAGTTGTCAAGGAGTCCCTTTACATGCCACGTTCAACAATCCCGCTCCCCAACTACTCAGCACTACCCATAACCCCTTGGACCAAGGTCCCTAGTTGTATTAACACCTATCTGGTCTGGTTGTGTTTTCACCCATCTAAAGAACCCTAAACCCTAAACCCTAAACTACCCTAAACCCTAAACTTTAAACCAGTTTCCAGAAATTTGAGTTGTATATTGACCCATCTGGTTGTGTAACGCTTTGCACAGCCCTGGCCGAAGTTCAACGCAGGGGTCAGAATAGAGCCACGGTTTCGTGTTTTGGGTTTTGGGTTTAGGGTTTAGGGTTGATGATAGTCTTTTATAGTCCTTATATGCAATAGTACTATAATCTACCCCGGAAGCCCTATTCCAACCAATCAGGACTTCTATAGTACTCAACGTCGTCAGGGTTCCGGGCTCCTTAGGCTCCTTTTTTAAGGCTATTGAAGTCGAGGCATGGGGCGTCGGAAGCCAAATCTTTGAACCCTAAACGTTGAACTCTTACGGCTGCTGCTGCCCTAACAGAAGATTCTGATTCCCTTGTAATAAACCTGGTAGTTTTTAAGGTTTAGGGTTCTGTTGTACGTTGTCCCCCAAGACCCTACTCTAAGTATTGAAGCCCCCATCTTATAGTGTCAGGGATTGTTAAGCCCAAAGTCTTGTTGATATTTGTGTACCAAGCCTTCGTCTGTGAATCTGACTGCCGAAACCAAGCCTGCTGTCTTGCACTAGACTCTGTCAGTTTGGAGAGACTAACCCGAAACCGGAAAAAAGAAGTTTGTTCGTCCGTGGTAGGATTTATTTATGATGTTTATGGTATCCTCAGGCTTTTGTCTTGATTGGCGCATGAAGATATTTGAAGCAAACGGTCTTGGGGACTGAGAATCTGAAACTGGGTTCGGGGTCGCACAGTAGGGTATAGGGTTTAGGATGTATCCTTGCAGTAGGTAGCTTCTCTGGATTTTCAAGCGGGGCTGCTGTTGTATTCCTCGGTGATATGAGTGTTCTCTCTGAGGGTGACTAGCATGGATGGATTAAATCCCAAGCGCTACATCCGAACAGCCAAAGCCCGACTGTGGCCGATGGAAGTTTCATCGTGTATGGCAGGTGTGATTTCCGGTTGGAACAACTTCAAGATTTGTCGATCTAGCAGGGTATAGATGCAAGACCTTTGTGACCTCCGGTGAAGCGCTCGAGCGTGCATGACGTGATGTTGTAACGGACTACCATCTGTAATTTCTGGTTCCAAGGATTGGTTTTATTTGTGCTTGGAAGGAATGCCAGACAGAAGTCGAGAGAGTACAGGTTGCGTCCTGGGAAAGGAGGTTGTTCTTCTGCGTTTGTCGGGGTCCGTTGTGTCGGTCCGGGGCAGCAATACACTTGGACGCCGAGGGAGCCTGAATGCGATGCAAGCGACACATGAGGGGATCCACAGCGATACAGAAGAGTAGGACAGATGAAGCTCGCGCCATACAGTAGTCTTCTTTGCTATACACTTTACTCTGTCCGTCCTCTTCACGTCGGATCACCCACGCACTGCTTGCTGCGCCTTGTATGTACGACTGTGTTGTCAAATGCATGTCATGTAGGCGATGACCTCGTTTTTCTGGCAAAACGGGCATGCTTGTCAACGTCCGTTCCAATCACTGCCACTGCGTTCGCTGTAGTTTAACGGTTTTGGAACACTCTCCGCATTGTCCTGCTTTTCATCATGGATGTTGTCCTGTGTGCCCATGCGTCAGGAATCCACGACGACGGGCACCATGCCGAGGGCTCAACTTCTTGGAGTGGAAACATGGTGTGCTAAGACTCGGCGGCCTTATTTGGCAACGTGGCAACGTTAATTCATGTCGTAGAACGCTGATGCATGATGTCCCGTCTCCAAGGTCGAACAAGAATCGGACGAGATTGGATGTAACATCGTGGAACCTATCATGGATCGACCTTGTGTTCTCGCAGGTGAATGCGGTGTGTTTTGGGGCTGTTCTGTTTTGCTTCCGTGTGAATGTACGCCCGACACCTTCGGGCTTGCGGTTTCTATGCTTTGCTTCTGAAGGTTTAGGGCTACGGTTTAATTATTGAAAAATGTTAATTAGGCTTGTGCGAAACTTGGCGAACTATTTCTTTTGCATGCTGAGAGTTTGGCGGATGCTCAATCCCATAATCATGTTCGAAGTTGCCGGGCCAACAACCCTTTTCCGAAGCCAGATCCGATAGCAAGTGAGCCCCCAAGCCTATAATAAACTGCTAAAATCCCTACGCCCGAAACCACACTGGAACGTTAACCGTTAGCCCGCAACCCTCAGTGCTCGAGGCCAGTCGAGCCTTGGCTCGCAGATGTGTCGCGCAAGCCGCACCCCGAGAGAGCTCTGAAGGATCGGAATGGTGCCATCCGGGGTCTAAGAACAGGGGTTGTGCAGGGTTTTCGTATACGGGTATACGGGCTTGAATAGTTGGAACAGGGCTTTGGGCTTGGGTGCTTACCATGCAAATTATAATTTAATGATTGTTGACCAGCTCAAAAATTCAGTGCATGTATGAGCCGAGGTCGTAAGTAGCTCACTCGGTACAGGCGCACGTTAAACAAAGCGCAAAAGGCTTAACTTACAAATCTTTAACCCTTAACACCTCCTCTCTCGCAGTTCACAAGTAGGTCGCAGGACGCCTAAATTTCCCCTCAACCCAAGCTCATACCTTAAAGGAGTAAGCCTGAGGCCCGGCAGCCCTTCCGCGAAACTCCGGATGCGCCGCGAGAAGTTGTCAGAGCAGCCGGGCTGCGGGGTTCAGCTTCTATGGGTTCCGGGTTTTAGGGTTTAGGGGTTGGGGTTTAGAGGGTTTGGGGTCCAGTTTTCATGGGTTCGGGGTTTAGGGTTTCGGGGTTGGGGTTTAGGGTTTAGGGTTCAGTTTTGATGGGTTTAAGGTTTAGGTTGGGGTTTGAGCTCGGAGTTTTAGGGCTGTTTGAAAGAGTTTAGGGTTCAGGGTGGGGCTTTGGGTTTGGGGTAGGGGCTTAGGATTTTTGTGGTTTGTTTGGGCTTGGGGTTTAGTTTCAATCGTAGTTCAGGACTTTGGGGCTTTTGCGGGATTTAAGCTTGAGGGGTTGTTCTTCTGGTCTTTGTTTCGTCAAAATAGGGGGTTAGCTCTGGGATGCAAGGCTCAAGGTTTCCGTATGTCTACTGTGGACCCCTCCTGTCTGGACCCTGTTGGATGCATGGCTACCCTTGTCGTCAAAGGTCGAAAACTACGCGAACAACCTGCGGCAGGTATGGTAGAGATTAAAACTTAAAACCGACAGCAGCAAGCCTAGATTCCAAACACGCACCCAGGGTTTACTACCTCAGCTTTTCAGGCGTTCTAACTGGCAGGCGGAAAAGAGGTCCCCCCCCCAAAAAAAAGCACCCACAGTCACCGACGGTCTCACAAACGATCCTCCCTCCAAAGCGCGTTTGCGGATCAGAGGTGGCTTCGATCTGTTGCCACACTTCAGGCCGATTGGGCAAGCCGGGAAATTTACGGTCTTACCCGGCAGGTAGGTTCGTTGGTTGGTAGACATGCAGCCTTGTAGGCATCTAGGGATGAGTGAGTGAATTAATGAACGAATGCATGGATGAATGAATGGATGAATGGATTAATGGATGCATGTCATGAATGGAATGAAGGAGCGAAGGAATGCAGCAGGAATGAATGAGTGAAATGAATGAAGTTAATGAAGTGAATGAAGTGAATGAAATGAACGTGTCAATGAATGCATGAATGCATGAATGAATGGATGCCTGAAGGCATGCATGGTTCAATCAAGCAGTCAATCAATCGATCAAACAAGCAACTAATCATTCATTCAATCAGTCAATCAATTAGTCAGACACCCAACCAACCAAGCAACCAACCAACCGACCCATCAAGCATGCAATCAATCAGTCAGTGAACTAATGAGCCAATGAATGAATAAGTGCATGAGTGAATGACTGAATGCATGAGTCAATGACTAAAGTATGCATGAATGAAGGACTGACTGACTGAATGAATGAAAGAATGAAAGCCAGCAGATCATGCTATGCCATGCTAGTTTTATGGTTTGCTCGGCAAGATACTATGCATGTATGTATGTATGTATGTATGTATGTATGTATGTATGTATGTATGTAAAGGCCTCTGAGATCACTCCAAGTACTCCAAGGCAATGACAATGTTAAAATGCTTAGCCTCAAGCCCCTGCACTGAGCCAGGAGGTGGAATTCCTTTCGAGTCTGCGGACCTGGGTTCGCGCCTCAAAGTTCAAAGGTGGGCTGATCTGAAGTAGGGGTGCTTTTTTTTAGGGTTTCGGGGGGGTACACGGTTTTTTCCGGTGTCAGACTGGTTGCTCAGGAGTCTTTAATTAGGGCTTTGAGCAGAGCTGTTACAAGGGGCTTCTTGTATATATATATATATATATATATATGTATGGTCAGGCGCTCCGCGGCTCCCCCCCCCCCTCCCCCCCCAATGGTACATGGTCCAGGAACCCCCCCTCCCCCCTGTTTGTGGGGTGTGGGGTCCCTCTTCCCCCTGTGGTGTGGTTGTGGGGTTTCGGGGTTTAGGGTTTAGCTCAAGCTTT